AATATATAGTGGTGACCACCATAAAAATATATTTTAATATATATATATATATATATATATATATATATATATATATATATATATATATATATATATATGCAAATCTTATTTATTTGACCTGAGTTTGACGTCGGGTTAAAATCTACTCAAATTGTATTGCCATCTCCTGTAGTGTATTTTTCAATATGTTGCTAATAATCAATAAAAAGACATATGAGACATTTCTAAGAAAATGCATGTAAAACTGACCTTTAAGAATTTTATCTTAAGTCAGTTAAAATGACTCTTCTGAATAAATTCAATATTATATGAAACAATTTCGGGAAAACAGATTGCTCTGAGCTGAACAGCCATAATAGCAGGTACTTCACAAATTAATTATCCAATTCAATGCATTATGCACGTAGACAAAAGTGAACACACACAAATTAAGTGTTACTGGATGATAAAGGGTGGTAGATTGTAAATTGTAAACATGTTAGTAGGTAGGCTTACCTGCTGATCCCCCTCTGCTCCAGACTGTCTGCCACTGCAGCCTCCAGGTAACAAAGCAGCTCTGCTGCGGCTCCCGGCTCTCCATTCACCAGCTTTACTGCTTTAGACACTGAAACACAACCGGAAAGGCATTTACTGTGTTCACTTGGACCGTATAGATGCTGTGTTGGACTGGCATATGTCTTGGTGTTGTTTACTTAATGTTCGCAGATTCTGCGTTGGTGTGAGCCTGTCGAGTTGGTTCCAGTGCTGAAGGATGGTGTTCAAGGCTCTGATGTCGACTCTCAGCTTCAGGCTGCAGATTCCCAGCAGCTCACAGAAACATACAGCAGACGATGTCACAGACGGCTTATTGAAACACTTCAGAGCCAATCTGTACACCTGCAGCCAGACCTTCTGGAGTCTAAAACACACGCATGCAAATACAACTAAAGAAATATACAGCTTGTCAGAAACATGGGTGCCATCTTGCCTGCCCTCGCAACCATCTCAATAATCTGATAATAAAAGCTGATGTCAGATGTACTTACAGCAACTGCACATCACTGCAGACCCCCAGCTGCTGGATAAGAAAGTTTCCATATGCAAAAGATGGTCGACCATGATGGATGTAGTAAAGAAAGTCCAGGTTTTCTATTATAGCGAACTTGCCAACCAGATGAGAGCTAGAAAAATGAGGCAGTTCGGCCGTTTCTGCAGAACATAAATAAATTACCAGTTTTACTCTGTATTAAATGGATAGTTTGGCTCTATTTAATAATCTTTTCATTTTCATTTTTTTACATGTACCTATAACATATCTCAAAAAACAATATTCTTACCAGTGCAGTTCAGAGGGTTTGCAGTCTGCCAACTAAATAGCCTGGATGGGTCAAGAGGGTGAAGTGACTAGGATAGATAACCATTAAGGATTACCATGTTACACATTAAGAGATAATCAGCTTTTACAATGTGATATCACCTAGTATTATTTTAACTTTTCCACAAACTATATTTCTTTGCTAAATGCTGAAGCAATCTCCAATAGATTACTTCAGCATTTTTTTATTTCATAAAGGGTTGTGTGTCTACCTGGAGAAGGTGATAAATGAAGATGTCAGAGAATGAGCCATTCGCAGATGGGAAGAGGGCGGCTCTCAGCTTGTAATGAGGGGCCAGTGCCATCTTCAGGAGCTGGGGGTCAACAGTCCCCTCCAAACATGTTGAACTCTGTCCCCGAGCCACAACCTATGCATAACAGCACAGTTCTGTTCAGTGGTAAAATATTTAGCAGATAATGTGACTACTAAAAACAAAACAAACAAAAAAAAAAGGGGATTTAAAAAAGCAATTGACTGAAACTGACAATTGTGGCAGACGATAGTCAGGCAGCCCACCTTGTTAACTTAAATTGATCAAAGCAAAATTGTAATAAACAAAGAAACTGAACACAGCACAAATGGCCAGAAAACAACAACTTACTGTCAGCAGGATTTGAGGTTACACTCAATGTCTGTCTTTAAGGACAAAAGACTTCAGAACATTCATATGTTGGAACACACACAGTGAAAGAAGCCAGGTACGTTTTGTTTATATTTCATTTATATTACCAGCCCATGTTCTTTTACATAAATATGTTTGTATTTGTGTTTTAGTTTTCATAGTGAGCCACAAAATCCATGGCATCTATGTTGATGGAAGATGTTGAAATTAGCAGTGCACCGATACCTACATGTGAAGTCGATCTTATCGACCTCAGCAAAGGTTTAAAAACCAACCGCTGTGCCCTTTTGTTTTGCTGTGACAGAGGTTTGACCCCGTATACCAAGTCATGTCTGCATGTTTGCAGTTAACATTAATCACTCCACTGTTACCGACTCAGCAACTTTTTTGCCATATATAGAAACATTTCAAACAAACAAAAAATCTGTATCGGCCAAAATCAGAGTCGGCAGGTCAGGTTTCTTAAAGATCAGTAACCGACGCCACTGTGAGTGATCTGAAAGATACTTATGAAATAAACATATTATTACAACTATTCATTTTCCTGTAGTGGTGTGTATATTAATATATACACACCCTATATAACATTGTGTTTATATTGCATTATTATATAACAGTGATATTTTGTGATTATTGCCGTTATTATTTTCTGTTAAAACTACAGCAGTTTTAACAGAAAAAATTGTTATAGTTTTTTTCTATAACAATTTATATTATAGCTTTCAGAAATAAGATAAAATAAGGGAAGAAGTTTTGATTAGCTGAAGCATATTTACCTTATCAATTCCACCATGAGCAAACATGATGGAAGCCAGTGCCAGCAGGCTGTGTCCCTCAAACAGTAAGCTGCTCAGAGAGGCCAGGCTGCCAGGTAGCAGCACCTGAGCGCTGGTCAGACTCGCCTGGAACACGGGTTCTGGTTCTGCAAACAAAGAGAGAGAAAGACAGAAAATGTACGGTCATGAAATTTCTTTAGAAATAGTTTTTCCTGATATTTACTTTTTGAGTTATGTGGTGTCTAAAGACACATGAAAGAGGTTTGTTGCGTTCTTAACTGCAATAGTGACATGAATGTAGTTTTTAATATGTGGAAAACAGATCTCCAAACATTTATTTGCTTATGTATTAATTTTTTATTTTTTTTTTATAATCATGACCTCTGAAGAGAAGCTTGATCCTATCAGTGCAGCACATCCACTATGGGTACCTGACAGGTCTCTGGTTATCTCCTGGGTCTTTACCATCATCTCAAACCAGGGATGACTCCCCAGCAGGTTCTGATCGGTAAGGAGGGGGCAGTTTCTGGGCGTCAGTCTGTGGAAAGGGGACCCAAAACTGATGCTTTGCATAATAACAGAAACATGTATTGAATCAAAACTAAACAGCAGTTCTGTACCTGTAGTGCTCCAGGTAGGTATAAAGCAGGTACTGAAGATTATGCTCCAGGCACAATGCAATGAAGACACTGTGTAAGTTAAGGCCGAGAGGGGAGCAATACTGAGATACGGGGGGGGATGATGTCATCAACCCAGCACCCTGAGCTAGTCGCCATAGCAGCTGCTCCAAGTCTGACATCTCATCTGGGATAAACACACCTTTCCTGTGGTGGCAGAAGGCATTAATAGTTAAATGAGGCAGAATGTTTGGGGATGAAGTGATCTACAGCCTGAAACTCAAATTTTGACAAAAGGGAAAATAACGCAGGAAAACCGCTCAATAACAACTCAAAACCACTTTTTTCTCAGTGTATGTTTCAGAATTCAGAACAAAAAAACACTCAAACATTTCCAAAAGAACATTCAGTCCATTACAGTTTTATGTTTTTAGGCTTAATGTTCATTTTGCGATCATCATCATTGTGGTAGATTAGCTCATTTAAACATCTGCTCTACTGATGATCTGTCAGATTTGGTGAATGGGTCACCTTTTTGTTATTTTGTAGTTGTCACTAAAATAAGCAATAAACAGAAAGAGGTGTGGACATAAAGCCTGCTGTTATGTGTGATGTGAGCAAGACATCATTGCTTTTCAATAGGTGAGTATAGGATATCTATATGAAAATACAACAAATTGAAAGAAACTGTCTTGATTTGTGTGTATACTTTTCTTCAGAAAAAATTAAAATATTGTTAACTTCCACTCAAAAAAAAATAAATAATTTTGGGTTAATCAATTAACAATTGATTAACAATTAATTAACATCCCACATCCTAACATATGATCAAAATAGACCAAACACAGGCATAGTGTGTGTGAGTGTGTGTGTGTGGGTGAATTTATTTGTTCTCTTTTCAACAACTTTAACTTAAAACACAAGGATCTAATACCTAGCTAGAAGGTCCAAGATGTTCTCCTTGAAGAAGATGCTGCACACTGTGTTATTGTTGACCATCTCAGGAGTTATGTCAGGCCAACAGGGGGAGCCGAAGGTCCTTTGATTGTGAATCCAGTCAACCACCTTCTGATGGTGGTGAAAAGCAGTCAGGTAATGCCACAACAATGCAGGGTCACAGCAGCTCAGCTCTGATAAAAGAGACAGATGTTTGTTGTGCATTTGTATGCTGCAGCACCACAGAGCCATTCTAGTTTTGCTTTGACTTGTAGCCTGACCTATGTGCTGCAGCCTGGATAAGCGAACAGCCGTCTGGCAGCTCTGATCCCAGGTCTTCACCCAGTCCAGTCGGAGGTTCCTCCAGAGTTCTCCTTCCTCCTTTGAATTCTGTCCCACCAACTCCTTCACCACCTCTTCACCATCTAGCTCCTTATGAATCATCTGAGGTAACCTGGAACATGTTTTTTTTTTTTTTACAAAGGTCAAAACACAGACTTCATCTGTATCAACACTGACAATGTAAATTTAATCCATCAGAAATTCTTCTGTAATTTCCAAAGAAAATATTGTGGAAATTTTAGGGTGATCAAATTTAAAAGTACGAAGGAAATGAACTGGGTGACAAAAAAAACTATTAAATATGTAAGGATAAAAAATTGAAAACTTTCACCATAAAACCACAACCAAAATAATGTAGCTTAGAATTTCTAAGCTATATTAAGGTAAAAGATCAAAAACAACAGAATAATGAAAATCATTTATTTTTATCATTAGATACATACACTAGATACATTTCCACAAAATGCATCTAGCTTAAAATATAAGTCTGTATGAAAATTGTTTTATTTGTTCTAAATTTCTTACCTTTATAATTTTAAACCACTGTTTTCCATACTTGTATTTGCTTTTTTGGCATATTTCATTTTTTCTTATTTAGTTTTTATTTGTTCTGGTGGCCATATGAGACGCACATTAATACCACAAATAACGAGGAAAGAAATGCAGCATCTGTACCGTTGTGAAAGGGGATTAGCTGGGCAGGAGACAGCAGGCAGCAGGCCAAGCTTCTCTATCTCACAGATGAATGAGACACCCTCCAGCTCTTCTTCAGTCAGAGAACTGTGCTTTGACAGATCCTCTACCTGATGGATGGAACACAGAGTTACAAAGACCAAACCAGCATGGCCAATCTATAGAATAGAAAAATTTGTTAAAACCAGGGCTCCCCAAATAATATGAAGCATAGGCGTAGGAAGCGGGGGGGGGGACATGTGCCCCCCAATATTGGAGAGAGTCACATTCGTCCCCCCCAATAATTTCACCGCTGTTGCGAAGAATTTTAAAATCTTCCACTCGCGTGCTTTTATTTTATTTATTTTATCACAACAGCGCATTCAGCAGAGCGCTTCCTCCCCCTCCCCCCTCTGAACGGCTCAGAGTAAAGGCAGCAGCAGACGGAGTCAGAAACTCCGTTTGAATGAGGTAAACTGTCTGTCAGGAATGTTGCCATGAATATCGCTCGTTTATAACATCTTGTTGTCAGTTTACTTTCATATATAGAACTAAATCTTTTAGGTTAAGCCGTTTTAATTCTGGGATAGTCACATGTCCAAAATTTTACTGCTAACTTTGTTTAAAAGTTAGCTAGTCTAGTCACAATGATTTAGAATGAGACTGAAACAGCAGCGAAATTAGCCTTTTTATTATTTAAAGTGAGCAACATCTGATCATACTCGACCACTTAACATGTATTTATATATTATATTATTTAGATATTTAGGAGAACAGCAGTGCTAGAATGATGTTGAAGAAAGGTGAAGAAGCTCTGGTGAGATCTTAATTTAGTTTATTGAAATATGTATTAACTGTTTTTAATTTTTAAATAAGCTAAACTATTTTATTATGAGAGGAGCAGGTCAGGGAAGACATAAGAGAGCCAGGTGGAGTTTCAGAGTGTAAAGATATGAAAAATTATATTAATTATATTAAAAATTATATTAATTACAGGAGACAATAAGAAAAGTGCTTGAGGAGAGGTTTAAAAATAAATTAGTGAAAATTTTTGCTACACAGTAAATAGAGTTGAGATGTATAATAATGTATACATCTGAAAATTAAGTTGT